CCCCAAAACCCCAAAACCCCAAAACCCCAAAACCCCAGAGCAATTAAAATAAATTGGGAAATATAATAATTATGGGAAATTTCTTTGCTAAGAAAGAGTTCAAGAAGGGGTATCATTGGCCTCTTAATGAGTTTATTGTGACGGATAATGATGGATGGATTGTTGTTTATAAGAAGACTTGTCTTTTAGGTAAAGATTTGGAAAATGGGGTGGAATTGTGTTGGGGGTTAAGATAGGATGATTTTGGGGAATTTTAAGGGGTTTTAATTCAATTTTTGATATAGATCGTTCTACTGAGGTGAATAGCCAGGTTGCTCATTTTGTAAAGTGGTCATTGAGGCTTAAGAATGAGTTTAAGATGGATAATATAAATCCAGGGTTTGCTGGAATTGGGATTGTATCCAGCGGATTTATATACGAAGCAACCAAAGATGGATTTGTCAAGAATGAGATTATCTCCAGACTTAAAGAGTTAAAGAATCAAAATTGAATTGTGGCTGTTAAGAAGGCTCTAATAAGTATTGCATTGTTTAATCATCATTTTAGATATTAACCCAGATAATTTTAGAGAAGAGGAAGACTCTGATGATGATGATAATAGACCACAGAGAATTGAGAACGATCAGTTCCCCCCAAGTCTTTCTGTCAAGTTAGACGAAATGATAGAAAAATATGGCGACTTCTCATCAATGTCTCTCCAATTTGATGACCACTTTTTGACAGAAGTTCTAAAAAGAACCAAGGAAATCCTCAACCACATCAACAGAACGGATGGAAATACTCTTTATGACGCATTGAATGTATTCTACGACTTTTTCGCTGGAGATGATAAAAAGCTTCAGACTGACGAACTTTGCAAACTACTTGGTAAATATCTGCTCTAATTTGTAGACTTTCTGAAACTTCCAGATGATATGCTTGCTCCCTACATAAGAGAAGTCTGAGATGAATTACTCAGAGAAGATCCTCATAATGAAAAGGAATATGACTTCCAAGGAACTTGTGATATTTTAGAAAAATATGAAATTATTCAACAATTTGAATTGAACAAGTTCGAAAAAGAGTCAACCTTTAACTGCCAATTTTTCCTCAGAGTCCTACATGAGATTGGTATGATAGATCTTAGAAAGAACCACCTAAAGTTTGATGAAGATGCTTACAACCAGAGCATAGAGATGAGAAGAGAGCAACAAGAGAATATGGAAGATGGCGATGAACTCATTGACAAGAATATTCCTGTTGAAGATGATCCTGAATACATCATTACTGATGTAAACGACTTGATTCTCTCAAAGAAAAAGACTCTCAAGAAAGTATTCTGTAAAGGATACAGATATGCAAAGGAAAGAGTTCTATACATGGATTAGATAATTTCCGTTTCAATAACGCCCACCAACCCTGGGGTTTTGGGGTTTTGGGGTTTTGGGGTTTTGGGGTTTTGGGGTTTTGGGG